ATCCAATCAGCGGGACACTTGGTACCTAGCAACTAACGACCATGGAGGGCTCCCCCTACGCAGAAAGTTAACCAGGTTTGAGCAGCGGGGAACGGGAGGGACCAGGTGGGACGGGCCTGGGAACTTGAACAAAGATGACACGGAGGGACAGGCTAGGAGCGAAGAGGGTCACACTGCTCTGGTGGGCTCTAGGCTGACCACAATGGGCCTGGCGGTAACTTTCTTCTCTTGGCTGCCCAAACACTTTCTATGCTGGGGTCCAGTCGACTAATACAGCCGGCTGTTTAGACAACGCTGGCTGAGCATCCCTGCAGATGCTGAGTGAGGGGCGTTGCTCCCTAAGATTGTACAACTGTCCCTCAGGGTCTGCCTCAGTGGGTTTGGCTGAGTAGATCTCACAGTGGGAAGCACAGGGGCTGGTGGCCCAGGTCCAGCCTAGGGAGGTGGTGACACCGCGGAGCCTGCTCTGGAGGAAGAGTGAGACCACTGAAGGGTGCCAGAGCACCATCCCTGCTGATCCATGACTGGTGGTGGCAGTAGTGGGATGCTGAATACACAAGAAGCCGTTTGCAGTAAGTGACGTACAGCAGTAAAACAAGGGCAGTTAAAGGAAATGGCGTAGAACCATCTCCCTAAGGACATCACAACCCAGGCAGGGAGACAGGGTTAGGCGTTGGGATGCTCAACAAGGAGCGGCTGATTGCACAGCTGGAGAAGGACGATGGGTCCACGAAGCAGGTTCCAGACCCCAAGCGGGTCTGAGAGTGGCGGAGGCAGCAGCCGGGCAGTGACACAGACAGCGGCTGAGGCGGCAGCAGGATGTCCTCGAGACCTGGTTCCCCATCCAGATCTTATGATCTGGCTTCCCACTGACAGATCTGAAGTGGTGGGAGCTGGAGCTGAGAGGGAAGGTGCTGTAGGACCCAGAAGAGCAGGGACTGGAGATGGAGGAGTGAGAGGACCCTCTGAGGAGCAAGTGGGAAAGGCCCCGGGCTGCCAACTCCACAAGGAGCCTAGATACCACATTGTTGCCCCAGTTTAGTGGTGGTGGTGGTGGGGAGCATGATATAGACGCCGACCTCCCTGCCTTTGCCTGGGCCTGTGATCTGAACCCGGCTGTCTCACCACTCCCTCAGCCCCAGAGCCATATGGGGGGATGGGGTAGAGACTGGGGACGGTTCAAACAGGCTCCACTGGAATGGACCCTGCGGCATGGAGGAGCTGGTTTTGGGGCGTGCAAAGACACCTACAGAGGAGCTGGAAGAATCTCTCCGCAGCAGGGGCCCCCAGGCTGGAAGAGCCGGATAACCTGGCTGGGTTGGAGCTGTGCAGTAAGATCTGTCCCCACGAGCTTAAACCGTGGCTAGCGGACAGGGAGCCGAAGGATCTGCCCAGTGCTGGCTGGCTGGCAGAGGAGGGGGAGGGTAGCAGGGCCGGGTATGGAAAGAGACCCAAAGGGGACTGGCCTGAGCATGGGTCTGGGGAAGGGGAGCCAACGGCGGCATCCCAGGAGGGGGACTCGGGGAAAGCCACAGCTGGGGGAGTATCCGGGGGGGGGTAGGGGTCAGACCTCCTCCAAGGGACCTCCCTGACCTGAGGGTAATATCTGCAGGCGGACAGGGTGTAAGTGGGCCAAATGCCCACGGCTGGTTTGGCCAGGACAGAGACTGAGTCACACTCCGTCAGCCCAGGCAGGCAGCCTGCAGCTCAACCCCCCAGAGTGAGCGACGTGTGACTGAGCGTGGGGAGGAAGCCGTGACCCAGGCAGCCCCTGGGGCACAGACAGGCTCCCACTCCACGTGTCCGGCTGTACTCCCCCGGGCTCAGACACACCCGAGTGGGCGCGGTCGGCGGGGGAGACATTCATGGGGTGGAGAGGTGCTGGGACAGAGAGACCCCTGCTCAAGCCCTGTGCAGCGTGACCCCACCCGACGCTGAAGGGCTGGGACCTGGGGCGAAGGAGCCAAACGTGAAGCCATTCGCCCTCAGATCCCCGAGGCTCAGGAAGGATTGGTGGGGGGAGGGGGGACTGGTCCTTGGGGCTCTCCAAGATATCAGGTGTGATGCCCTTGAGGGAATGACTGTGTCACTCTAAGACAGGATCCAGGCCCAGCTTCTGAGTCACGCCAGCCAGGTGAGATGCAGCTATCCCTGAGGGAGGGGGGATTTTCCCCCTGGCTCAGGGCACCTGCCGGTCTGTAACCAGACACCTGGATCCGGTCCCCGCCCAGCTCCACACCGCAGATGTGAGCCACACCCCAGTTCCCAGGAGACCCCAGCTGAGCCTGGGCACACGCAGGCGGGGCAGGGGGCAGCCAAACCGGTTTGCCTTGTCCACGGGTGAGAGAAGCAGCTGGAAGGCTGTGGCCGGGGAATCCCAGCCCTCCAGAAGTGTGGGGGAGATGAGAGGACTCTGCCCTGGGGGTGAGGGCAACAGGTTACCCCAAGAGGGGAGATGGGCACCTTGCATATGAGCAGCCCTGGGGTTGGGACCCAGGACCAAAGGGAGGCATGCCCATGGGGGGAGGGATAGCTCAGTGATTTGAGCATTGGCCTGCTAAACCCAGCGTTGTGCGTTCAATCCTTGAGGGGGCCATTTAGGGAACTGGGGTAAAAAACTGTCTGGGGATTGGTCCTGCTTTGAGCAAGGGGTTGGACTAGATGATCTCCTGAGGTCCCTTCCAATCCTGATATTCTATGATTCTATGATGTTGGGGAGCCCCCGGCATCCTGGCCTCACCAGCCCCTGGGACAGCAGAGCCCCAGAGATACGGCTGGGGCAAGGAGTCCCACCCCAGCTGCCCCCGAGACAGCTGGCACATGGCGGAACAGGGGTCACTGCTCTCCTTGCTCCCTGGCAGATGAGGGGGGCAGGGAGTGGCAGGACCCCAGACCAGTTTCAAACCCGAAAGGTCCTGGCAGTGCAGCTACCCGGGGTGGGGGAAGGTGGGGCTGAACTTCCCCAGGTCCCTGGCTGAAGCGATCCCGATCAGTTCGCTCTCGAAGCGGGAAATGATATGACCAAGTGGGAATTTTCTGCAAACATTTGGTATGAATATGTGCGTGCCTCAGTTTCCCCCCATGCTGCATTGTCACCGAGGGGGTGGGAACGAGCTGGTTACTCTCAGTGGAGGCCTAGAGATGCAGGTGTGAATGGTGCCGGGCTGTCTGGGGGCCCTGGTCAATAGAGAGTCCCCGAAGGCAATGCCCAATCCAATCAGCAGGACATTTCCTACCTAGCACCTACTGACCATGGAGGCCCCCCACTGCAGGACCCCAGCCTGCTTTGAGCAGCTGGGAACAAAGGACTGAGAAGAGGCCAGATGGGACGTCTGGAAACGTGACCGAAGATGACACACAAAGGGGGTCGCACGGCTTGGCCGGGCTTGGGGCTGGTCGGGACGGGCCAGGCTGTAACTTTCTCCTCTCTGCTGACCAAGGACTTTCTACGCTGGGGCCAGTTGCCTAATAACCCTGCCCGCGCTGTACGAGTCTCCCTCAGGGTCTGCCTCAGTGGGTCTCGCTGAGCGGAGCTCACAGTGGGGCTGGCGGCCCAGGGGTCCGGCCTAGAGGGGCGGTGAAGCCGCGGGGCCTGCCCGAGAGAAAGAGTGAGACCGCGGGGGTCCGGCGCATTGACGGGGCCTCCCAGAGACTGTTCCAAAGCTGGGGCCAGAGCCCCGACCCTTTTGGGTCCGTAATGATGAGGACTTGCATGGGGGGGAGGGGAACCTGCATGGGAGAGGGGGGAGGGGTACCTGCACCAGGGAGGAGAAGCCGGTGGCCAGCGAGCCCTGCAGCACAGAGTTGCGGGTCGTCCCCACGAAGAGGGTGTCGTCTTTGCCTTCTGTGATGGTGCGCACGGGCCCGAAGCTCTCTGGGACCTGGGGGAGGGGAGGGCACTGAGCCACGGGCATAGCTGGGGATAGAACCCAGGTGTCCTGGCTCCCAGTCCTGCCCCCGCTCCCCGCTCCAACCCACCAGACCCCACTCCTTTCCCAGAGCTCGAGGCAGAACCCTGGAGTCCTGGCTCCCAGCCCCCACCTGCTCTAACCCACTAGCCCCCCCATCCCCTCCCAGAGCTGGGGAGAGAACCCAGGAGTCCTGGCTCCCAGCCTCCCCCAGCCCAAGCTGGGGAGAGAACCCAGGAGTCCTGGCTCCTGGGATTCTGCCCACCCTCCCTCCTGCCCCGTGGTGCCTGCGTGGCAGCAGAACACTGCACCCCGAAGGGGACCCTTGAGCGGGGGCAGTAGCTGCTCCCCCCCACTGACCCCCCTCACCTCATTCTCCTGCAGCTTCTGGTAGTCGCGCCCCCAGAGCACGACCCGGCGGTCCTTGCCGCCGCCCGAGACGATGGTGCCATTGCGCAGCACACACAGCCCGAAGACGCCACCCTCGTGGGCCCCCAGCACCGCCTGGCTGATCCGGTTCCCCCCTGCCGGCAAGGGCACAGTCAGCAGGGAGACCCCCTGCTGGGACCCACCACACCCCCGCCCCTGCAGGACCCACCACGTCCCCGCCCCTGCACGGCCCCCCCCCGCTGGGACCCACCACGCCCACGCCCCTGCTACGGACCCCCCCCCCCAACTAGGATCCACGCGCCCCTCCCCCACCCGTGACCCAACGCCCTCCTTCCCCCAGCCTTGCAGGGGGAGAGGCAGCTGTAATTTAGGGTCCCCAAGGGGTGGTTACAGGGTCACTTGTGCTGCTATGACTCCAGCCCCCCCCCCCCCCCCCATCCATCCAAATCCAGATGCTCTTTCTGGTAGCTCCTCCCACCTGGAATTCTCCCTCCCCCAGCCAGTCCCCTGCCCTGGGCAGCTCCCACTGCCCCCCACCCATCCCGGCGCTGACCTTTGCCCCAGATGTAGAGGTTGCCCCCGGAGTCCCCGGTGACCACGTCCCCATTCTCGGTGAAGGCCACGCACAGCACGTACTTGGGCTTCTCGTGTTTCTGGGGGAGGAGGAGGAAAACGCAGGTGACCCACCTGTAACCGGCCTCTGCGGGCTTGGAACCGAGTCGGAACTGACCAGCAACGGGTGGACCCCTCTGCCAAACCCAGCCCTGATGCACGTCTTGTCTAGTGGGAATCGTATCCCACACGGCAGCCTGGCCAAGCTCGATAAGGGGGCTGTGCTGCCGGTGTAGCTGTCCCTCTAACCAGTGATCTCAGAGAGGAGCAGGAGCGGAATGCCAAGCTGCCCAAGAACACTCTTCGGTGCAAAGCCCGACCTGTCTAGCTAGGAAACAGCCTGACCCTTCAAAGCACCTGTCAAACATACAGCTAAGGGTAGCATAAAATCCTTCCTTTGCCTGTAAAGGGTTAAGAAGCTCAAGTAACCTGGTGGGCACCTGACCAAAGGACCAACGCGTGGAGAAGATACTTTCAAATCTGTGGGGGAAGGTTTTTGTTTTGTGCTCTCTTTGTGTGTTCTCTCCGGGACAGCGAGGAACCAGGGCAGGGAAAATACATCCCCCAAAGCCGTACCTGAACTAAAGGCCTCTAAGATTACAAATTGTAAGTAATAGGAAGGAAATGCGTTAGATTATCTTTTGTTTTAGCTAGTGAATTTTCCCTGTGCTAAGAGAGAGGTTTATCCCTGTTTTTGTCATTTTAAAGTTTTGCCTAGAGGGGAAATCCTCCGTGTTTTGAATCTTTTTGTTACCCTGTAAAGTTATCTTCCATCCTGACTTTACAGAGGTGATTCTTTTAGCTTTTTTTCAATAAACTTCTTTTAGGAACCTGCTTGTTTTTCAGTGTCCTAAAGACCCAGGGGGGTTGATCTGTGCTCACTTTGTAACCAATTGGTTAGGATATTATTCTCAAGCCTCCCCAGGAAAGGGGGTGTAGAGGCTTGGGGGGCAATTTTCGGGGGGATAGGGCTCCAAGGGGGCCTCCCTGAATCTTTGTTTAAATCACTTGGTGGTGGCAGTAGTACTCATCCAAGGACGTGGCAGTAGTACTCATCCAAGGACG